TTCTTGTCCCCATTCTCTGATGGAGCAACAATAAAAGGTGTGGAATATAATTCTAACCATAAATGATGAAGACAAAATGTTTTTAAGCTATAGAACTGAGTTTCAAATTTATTCAAATCTCGCTACAAGCCTCCCTCCCGCAGAAGTGATTCAACTTTCCTCTGTGCTTTCTCCATTGTATCTAAGCATCGTCCCAATAATTTAGCTAGTGATACACAACTTCATTTCACTGAGGTATTTTTAAAATCCCACAGGTTGATGCTGAAGCACACGAGTTAATGCATGTTTAGCACTGTTAAACTGATCCTTTCCTGCCATCTAGGGGACACGTACTGGTGTGCAGAGGAACAGAGGGTAATCTTCAGTTAGATATGGGAAAACTTTCCACATAAATTGCTTATCCCTATGCAGCAAAACAAAAATCAACCTAATTGTAGCGCAACTATCAAGAAACAAACCTAACTGAAGAGTAGCACAGCTATTTTATTAGACACCAGATACATAACCCTAGTTTACAGTAAATTTCAGTTAAAAACCCAGCAAAAATATGGAGTTGAAAATTTAAGCCTCACTTTTATGACACATGGTCATGTCTTCTGAGCTACTCAGCTTTACAAAAAGCTGTTTGATTTTCCTGGATACCTCAAAAGAGCAAGATCTATGTTGCTATAAACAACATGTAGCTGTCAACAGCCAATATAGAGGTGAAAAGAAAGGATCGAGATGTCTCTGGTCCCAGAAATGAAGTAAATCAGAGAAAGCAAAGTTGCATCACACCTGATATTATGAAAACTTAGCTCATTGTCAGAACTTGCTTTTAAACACATCATTTACATGAAGCACTAACTTTCTCAGAACGTCATTCTGCTGCCTACACTGTGGGCAGGGCAAAAACTTAGTATGTACCAGTGTGTCTCATACACTGTGCAGACAGTATGCACCGTTCTATTGCTCTACCCTAAGAGACAAGATATAGCAACACTTACTGTCAAAATGTCATCAAGTTCATTTTAGAAAACTTTAAAAGGTTGTTCCAGGATGCAAGTTCCTATTGCTAGTATTGGCATCACAGTCACATTTTTCATATTTGCTCTCTTCACTGTTGCCTTCCAGGCTTTTTCACACATCAGACTCCACAAAAGGATAGAGCAAACTCAGCTAAATGCTAAGCATAGCCATATGCACACACAAAAATCCAAATAAGCTTTTTCCTCCTCTTCCACTTAAATTTATTTTGCTCTTACTTTGAAAGGGAACAGTCCACTAAAACAAATGCTCTTCACTAAAACAAATAAAGGTCCATGGTTCCCATAGCTGAAATGATGTGAAAGTCTCTTCAGGATCAAAGTAGGAGTTTTTCTGGGGATGAAAGAAAGCAGGTGTCCAACCAAGATGTTTCATGAACTGGCTACAGTTTACAAGAAGCAGGCCCTGCTTCTGCCTCAGTGAAGTGACTGAAGATGAAATGCTTTCACTAACCCCTACACTGAAAGTGACAATTTTACAGTACTTTGATACATCTTCACTAAAGAACATAAACAAGAAAATTCCCAAATTTAGCAGAACAACTCTTCAATTAATTTTATTTTGACAAAAAAAATATTTGAGTAACACTGCCCAAGTTCTCTTCCCATTACTGTGTGCAGTGTGCTTAAATAGCTGGAAAGAATCACTGGCTTGAGAATACTGAAGCTCCTTACCACCTAACAAGACATTTCAAAAAATAAACAAATAAAAAGCCAAATGCAAACCCATTTACAGCAGTATAATATAAATCTGTATAAGACACCTTAATTTCTTGAACTGGAACATAGTATTATGCTTGCATAGCACAAACAGAAGTTTGACACTAGACCAGCACTGCTGCTGTAAAAGAAAAAAAAAAAAATCCCTAGGTATTACATTTATGGAACTTATTATTCACAGAAAAGAAAAAGGAAGGTCTCCTGCAAGATTAGGGTAACAGCACAACTTTCTGAAGAAAAATTCCAGTGGTGAATAATAAGCCTTCAATTTGATACAGAAGGGCTTGCAGAGATTAAAGCTAGAAAACTACTAGTGCCCACAGTCATTGGAGGAAGCTGTGACATGCATCCTGAGCGTTAGCAGAGCCCACCTGGCTAAACTTTAGGAAATCTGTGCCCCTGTACCAGAAATTGTTGTCCAGGTTTTGTAGAACATCCAGCTAGGGGACTCTTTAGATCCCCAGATAAGACACCGGCAATGTCTTGGAGACTGCTTGGGGCTAGAGGGGTAAACATGAACACAGACAAACTGAGAAGGAACTTAAACTATGTAAAAAAACCCCAAAATTTAAAAAAAAAAAAAAAAAAAAAAAAAAAAAAAAAGAAGGTAACAGCGAAATTAGATTGGATTTAGCAGAACAGCTGTATGAGGAAAATGCAGCTTACTTGGTAAAACTTATACTGTATGACCACCTTTTTTTGTACAGTACTTCACATGCCTTTCTCAGAACCTTTAGACAAGACAGTACAAGGCAACAATACTTCATGGGGGTTGGGGTGGGGGTGAGGAGAGAGAGAGAAGGAAAAACTAAAAAAAAAGGACAAGGGCTCAAATTAGAGAGGATGGAAACGGTAGTAAGGCACCATCAAGAAATCAAGACAGCTTGTTTCCTAAGCCTGACCTCCAGTGGCGAGTACAGAAACTAAGATAAGTTACACCCTTAATGCAAGCTTCCATGAACATACTCATGAACAGTGAAAAAACCCCCTATGATACATATTCAGGACCTCTCAAACAGATTGAGCAACGAAGTAAATAACAAAGTAGTCACATTCAGCCAAAAGGAAAACTATTATGCCTATGAAAGCTGACACGTCCCAGCTTTAGTTTTCTCGAAATAATTTGTCAGAAGTACATCCTCATTTTAATAACTCAATCTACTGATCTGTCTGCAAATATTTGTCTACAAGTCATGTTTTGTCCAAAAGGTGTTTTTTTTGAAAACAACAACAACAAAACACAAATGAAAGTCCAGTCTCTTAAAAAAATTACTTTGCTGTCTGTTACAATATTTACATGGTAAAATGACTACCAGTTTGACTGTGGCATTTTATTTTCAAAACTGGAAAAAATTAAAATGGCATGTTTTACAGGGGGCATTTCAGTTGACAAAGAGCAAATCAACTTTTCAAAAATTTAATATATGAAATGATAATAAAGAACATGAATATTTGCAAGCTACAGTAACTGTGAACTGTAGGGCAAGGAAAGGAAAACTGTCTCATTCTCAACCACAAATTACTCACTTTAAATGCTAAATGATACAAAAGGAAAAGCAACTTTTTATCATCACGAAATATATTTTTTTACTTAGAAAATGATTTTCACTTACCATGTATTATTGAAGCAGATAAAAATTAGCTGGACAGAAAAAGATAGTAAGGATAGTACTCTCACTACTCAATTAGCCAGCTTAGTTTTTTCTGGTACTTATTTATACAATAAGGCTTTATTTAGTCTTAAAATGATTAACAGAGAGGAAAACTTTAAAATTATTACTGGATCTACTTAGTAACAACAGCTAGCTTACAGATGAACACATCAGGGAAGGGGAAAGGTAAAGTCTTATTGTAAAACTTAATTCCATTTCAAATAAATGAAACAAATTAAGCAAAAGAGCTTAAAAGTCTGCAAAGACTGTATTCAAAAAGCAGATCCTGCCAACCTCATCCAAGCATGACAAAAATTGCTCAAAGGTGCGTAGTCACAGAAGCTGCTAAACAAATCAGAAGTATTTCTCTCATATTATAATGTATTATTTTAACACAATGTCTCTGGTCTTATAAATTATACTATAACATGCATATCAATTACTTATTACAGCATCCTGTAATATTATGAAAATAATATTACATGAGTTAAATGGATCATTTAGGAGGAAAATCTTTGTGATATTTTACTTAAGAATGTTTTAAAATGTTTCCTTATGTTTGTTAATTAGCTTCTCAGAGGAAATTACAGAGTTCTTTGTGAACAGTATATAAAATGTGGAATATTTTTGCAGTGCAAAAACTACCTGCAACATAATTACTACATACAGATTAACAAAGATAATGCAGTGTTTGGCAGAGCAAAGACTCATGCAGTGTTCTAAAGCACTCCATTGTAAAAATTATTTTAATCAAATCACTTTTAGTTTAACAGGCTCTGAAGGTGATTAAAAATAAACTTCCCAAAATTCCATACCAAGCCTTTTTCAAAAAAGCCCAAACCACAGCATAAATGCCGTGAACAAACCGATATCATAAATAGAAAACTGTTATAGAAAATGAAGTAGTAAGGTGATCAAAATCATAGCTATTGTCAAGAATTTTTCATTCTGTAAAGGTACTCAAAGGTCTTAAGTGTTAATGAATTAAAACTCATTATTCTGATATTCTAAGGTCTACAATATGACCATTTCCTCCTAATCAAAGTTAGATGTTTTACTGGATTTAGTATCAAACTATAGATTTACAAATGCTTTTACCTGGGAAGTGTTAAATATAAAATCATGCATTAAAAAAAAACAAAACAAAACAATCAAAGGGCTATATATCCAGATAGTGCTTTTTATATGTATTCAGGACTACATTCTGCATTACATAAAAATAAACCTAAAAATAAAACTAAAATGAAAAACGATATCAAGTCACCAAACAAGAGAACTCGTTCACAGTATCATTTTATTTTTTTAACTTATAATTTGCTTTCCTAAGAACAAAACAAATCTTATTTTCACACATTAGAACAGTTGTTAATATGAACATTGGAGCAATAAGATGTGGTATCAGATTTTAACCTTGTCTTGCATTACTTTTTAATTTAAGCACTACTTTTCACTGATGTAAATTATTTTCTGAGCATTTTGACTTGACACTCAACATAGTCTTTCTCCTAAACACGACTTTTGCTAGCCAGCATAAATATATAAATTGATTCAACCAATCACTGATTCGATATGTATTCAAAGGGTTTTTTTAACACTTATGACATAACACTTATGACAACATATTTGTTGATATGTTTAAAACTTCATTAAGCTTTGATCAAATAAAAATGGTCAAATTGAAATTTAAAAAATTTAAAATTTTAGTAAAGAAAACTCAGTGTGCATGAATTATCACAATATTTATCAAAAACATTTGTTTTTAAAGAACTCTAGTCAATTAGCTTAATGGTTCTAGTAACCAGACTCCACATGGGGTTTAGGCATGCAAAAGTGAAGAATGGTGCTTTTGGAAAGCCTGCCAAGCATTTATGTACATTACATCCTTGACTGCTGTTGGGATTTCACTAGGAATGGGGTGTCCACTATAGGTTTTATTTTTAATTTTTTTTCCTCGGATGTTTGGGTATTTTTTGCCATCCAATGTTCTCATTTAACTTCATCCATAGCTTTAGATTCACTTTAAAGATCTAACTTCTTCCCTTCAAACTAAATTAAAAGTTACTAGGTCAAATCTTTCAACATCTTTTTTTCAAATGGAAGCTCTCTGTTTTTTCAACTTTCACTTCCTAAATTCAGGCAAATGAATCTAATTCGAACACCATCAAAAGTTCTCTGCTCCTGTAAATAAGACTAATTAAGGCAAATTTTTTCTCTGTAACAGAATCTGAAAACATATTTGATAGCAGGTAAATAAATGTAAAGATCAGCTTCACTCTGAAGTCTACAAATACAGCACCATGACTTTCTTCTGTTTATAAATCTGGCTTCCCTTCTGATTTGCATTAATTTAGAAAACAGCACTCTCACTAAAAGGTGAAGAAGGCTCATGTATACAGTATTTAAAATTTTAACAGATTACAGCAAGTCTACACATAACACTGGCCGCTGTGATTCCAAATGTAATTATCAAGAGGTTTATTTAAAAAAAGGTATTCAAGTTCTAAATGACTAAACCAGCACTTAATAACAAAATTTTTATGCACTGTACAGAGATGTATTTTCAAGTAAAAGAAGAAGAATCATATCTTAGAACTACTTACCAGAGAAATTGAGAATGAAGTAGATTCTTTTAAGGCAGAAGTTCAATTACATATCAGGTTAAAAGCCACCACAATATTAACTATAACTAACTCTTTCAGCTTTTAAAAATTTGCATTCATAACTTAACTCCCATGCTGGCTAGAACTCTACTGACGTTCCAGGTAGTCCAGCTGGAGATATGGTTATCCTTAGAGGCTAAAGCTATGCCAGAGTAAAGTCAACCTACCCACTACTTTTTCATTACTAAACAAACTGCGCTCATTTGTTAGTAAGTTATATAAACTATTTAGAAAGAAGAAGTATGAAATATTGACAATGACAAAACAGATTTTAAAAAGCTATCATTGAAAAAGTTAGAATACATATTCAGAAGAATTTCAATGCTTAAAACCAGATTCACATATGTTCATCCAGTTGAAGATTAGTGTATTAAAAAAAGTTAAGAAAATACTTTGTGTTTCAGTTCAACTGCACTTGATTCAAGTACAGCTTGGGGGTTGGCTGATATAAATTAAACATGGTCACTGCCTCAGCAGCCGGAAGTACAGAAAAATGTACATGTTCACAGGATAAATAGAAGTCTCTTCTTTTGGAGAAAAGAAAAAAAAAAAAAAAAAAGCTATCTCACTCCAATACGGGAGGTCATCCACTCCAAGCCTTGGCATAATCTGAAAGATAAGAGATGTTCTATTGGTACTAGTTCTACTGCAACATTTTAAAGGTATTTTCTACTTGTTTTCATGCTTAAAAACATGTACTTAAAATAAATACAAGTGGGAATTGAGATTGAAACTTGAACAGAGTAAATAGTGTTTTAAACTAAGTCTACTGCAGCTTTAACCAAAAGAAGACGGTCAAGCAAGCTATTTTATTGAAGCTTGGCACTCCTTCAGGTTTTTTTCCTTGTAAATCTGAAAGACATTATTATTAACATGCTTACTCATAAGTACATGGAATCAAATAAATTTTTCTTTTGCTACAAGTTTCCCACGAAAGACTCCTTGCTTGAAAGCTAGACCTTTACATACTAGAAGACAAAGGATAGGTACCCAGACTGAAGTGGTTGACAAAAAGGCTGTTTATTAAGAATTCCAAAAGCTCATTATAAAATTAAAAATATGTTTATATTCAACATCAAGACTGCATGGGATCTAATCTCCTTACCCAATCTGCATGTCTACCTAAAAGACTACCATTTCAGAAGACAGACTTTCCTTTGATTTATTTAGTTACCTAGTTTATGTCATCTTTAAGCTTTAGCTTTGTAAAGTAATCAGGACTTAGCTATTCAAGAGGGTTAGTTTCACTCATATGGGGTTAATCTCCCTAGACTTGTCAGATCTTCCCAAGGAAGATTCAGCTCAGCAATCTAAGTCTGGGAAATTTTATGAGTTGGTCTCACTGTGACAGTATTAAGTATACTAATTACTAATCTTTTGTGTTTTTTGTTTTTTGTTTTTTTTTTGGTTTGGTTTGTTTTGGTTTGGTTTTGTTTGTTTGTTTGTTTTTTAAATAAGAAAGAAGCAGCCTAGGATGGCCAATTTTTCTAAACGAAAGTTCATATTAATTAATTTCTACCTTCCTCCAAATGCCAACTTATCTGAAGATCTAAGTTAGTACAAAAACTAAATACTCAAAAGTGACTTTGGCAAAACTGGTAAGTAGAAAGCAGAGTTTACTCTTAGCATGAAACAATATGATCCAAAGATTCAATCAAAAAAATTTTGTTTTCATTAACACATCCCACCCTAAGGAAGTGAATGCTACTAATCACACAAGGCATCTCCATTACATTAGAAAATACTTCATGGTAGAAGTGAGGAAGATGATCTCATTTCCAAATACTCAGTTGGATTCACTATTTTTATGCCACAAGACCAGATTATTGTAAAGGTTTTATAACACAGATGCAGAAAACCTCTACTACACATTAGAAGACTGCTTTAATAATCAAGATGAAAAATTTGCACACTTCAAACCATGTAAGCAAGACACTATCCACCTTGTTACAGACATCCAAAAGTGGTTTTGGATCTTTAAAGACAATGGATCCAAGGAAAGCTCAGCTTTCCATTTTAGTAATTGATGGAATAAGGTATTAAAGTTTCAAAATTAGCTAAAACAGCCAGATATAAAGAAAAGGTTTAATACTGGTAACAGTTTTATTTTATGTCAGATCTATGTACCTCTTCATCAAAACTATATTTGAATGATTATCAAAAAAAAGAACGGACAAATAAAACAAACCAAAACAAACCATCCCAACCTTCCCCCTCCACCTTAGAAGCTTACAGCAGATCAGAATGTAAATGAAGACAACAGCAGCTTATTTCTTTAACTACACAGAGACACAGAATGAGAGGGTAGCGCACAGAGAATAAACAATTATGCCAATAGCTACACATTTGGAGGAGAGGTGTTGGGTTTTCTTTGTGGTGTTGTTTGGGTTTGGTTTTGCGGGTTTTTTTTAAACAATAAGTTGAAAGACTTTCATACAAATCTGGAGTTTGAGCTATGGAAAAAATCCACAAGGTTCAATAAAGAAAAGGAAAAATTAAAAATGTCCCTCGGACTGCAAAGATCAGAAAATATATTCTTTCAGGAAATCCACATTGGTGTCAGGAGGCTTCTAAATCAGTATTCTCATTTACTATGTATTACTATAATAACCCATAAGCATTTACCCTTCTCCTGTCAGAGCACAACAGGACTGAATGTGCCACGGGTGATCCTTTATGGAGCTAAGAGTGAGGTATGTAGATATCTCAGCAGCTGTCATGCAACCTTTCATGTCCTGCTTGTTTGCAAAGATGAGAACTGCAGCCTTCCGTAAATCCTAGAAGTAATTTAAAGTATTCATAATAGTTATTATAAAGAACTAAAAGGTTACTGCATTAACTGAAGTTCTTAGAAGAACTCTATTCGAGCTAATCTACAATTACAAAGCAGCATGGAGTTTTTAAGACATAGTGCATTAAGAATTAATTACATTAAGACTGAAGAAACCAATTATTGGGTAAACCAATTTATTCCTGAGTTTTCTTCACAGAGAATCAAATTATAATTATATGACTATCCTTTTGGTGTTCACCACATGTTCATATGTTAAATAATGAAAGTCTTGTTAAAATATATTTCATAAAGCTCCAAACCATCCAGCCAGCAGAATTATTACTGGATAAACATTCCAAAATCTACATTAGGTACTACTCAAATGGAAAAACCTGCTAGCTATCGTTCCCTTAAAATTACTTTCAACTTCATGAAACAGGTTCTGTAGTGATTAAAGCAGTAACAATTTAAGAAAACTATATTTTGTTAAGTTTTATCCTATTGCTCCAAAAAGGGAGCTCTAACAATGCTGCAGCAGCTTTAGTAAAAGCAGAAACTAATAGAAAGTTGGTTTGTTTCTGTATGAAAATTAGGTTTCCACATAGCAATGAGAGAAGAACTGAGATGCATGGTTCTAGGAGTGCAGGAGGGTAAACAAAAGCAATACTCGGGAAGCTGACAGTTGTGATTAAAAGTGTTCAACACATTTAAATGTATATTAAATTTTGAAACTATTTCTCCATCAAGAGAAGAAAACCCACAAGCCTCTATAATTCAAAGTTGAAAATTCACTCCTACAAGTAGTAGTTGAGGCCTACTGACTGTTTTCAAGAGACGGTAGGTGACAATCTCATAAGAGTGTACAACACCAGAAACTCATAAATTATATGAGAAAACTTCACTATAAAAGGTCATCTTTCCACCTTTTTTGGTAGTGTATTTGTTTCTTACTGCCAGACCCAAACTACATTAATAAGTATCAAGTAAAAACCTCACTCATTTGAAACAATGCAAATCTCTCGGAGAAACGAACTCCACAGAATTACTTGCACTATACTACATCCTTTTCCTTCAAAAACTGAGATATTTAGATTTAAAACAACCCTAATCTAGCTTGAGACTGATCACAGAAGGTTTTAATGTACTCTAGCTAATCCAACGTAGACATTAATTTTGGATGTTTGAGGGAGTTGACCCAATGTTGAGCAGTCCTCAATATAACATAAAATAATAGAACTACAAACAAAATAAGTCATAAGGAAACTGAACTGAAACTATTTTATCCATAAGTATTATGGATATAATATAGTTTATTATATCCATTAGATATGCTCCTTAATTTTAAAGAACTGGATTAAACAAAACAAGAAAGAGAAATGGCATTGCCTATTATTTCCTAAAATAAAATTTTTTTTAAAAGTTTCTTGAAATTTTAACCACTTAACTGAAAGAAGAGAGATAGTGGTGGTAAACAATAATACTGCGTTATAATAATATGAAGTTTAAGATATTTTACAAGTTCGACATTTGCAAAGTAGAATGATCTGATTAGAATCAAGCAAGCCGTCTTCTAAGAGTGTTTCATAATAATTTTCTTGTGTATCTATAATTTAGATGGTTTTAAAATGTAACCAACATACATGCACATTTAGGCTCAGAATTTTTTTTGTGACAGTGTAATTTTTGCTAACATAGGAAGCATGTAATGTTATTTGACTGTTTACTACAGAAGAAAACTATTATCTCAATTACCCACCATACCTCATGAGCCAGCATTCTATAAAGTTCTTCTTTTGTAATAGAAAGTCGCTCTCTATCAATGCTGTCAACAACAAGAATGATGAACTAGGGGAAAAAAACAATAGTACAGTATGTAAGTACAAAGTATAAATTACAGAAAGCACGTTTTCAAGAGGCCACTACCACAAGTCTTCCTATGTGACGGACATTGACTTTCAGAGCGCACTAGAAAATAGGTTTATTATTAGTTACAGTCTTTTGCTAGAGTACTGGGAATCATACATGAAGATTATAGTTTATATATAAAAAAATAATTATTGTGCTTGTAAATTTCAGCACTGCTATTAAAATCTACTTTCACGTACTATGGTTAAATCTCCCTGGTAGATTTTCAGGCCCTACATCATAAGCAAAGTAGTGATGTAGGTACCAAAAGCACCTACAGAGAGTGGATTACATTTAAAATGCGGATGATAAACTTGCTACAGTGTTACCAATAAAACAGCTATTACTGTCCACTACTACTTGCATACTCAGAAAACTATAAAACCGAAAATGAAATTCCCTATTTTGAATGAGGCATTTTTAGCAATTCAGCATCACCTTACTCATAAGGCTTAAGAAATATTATTTCAAAGTAGTAGCTCAGACCTCAGTAAGCTATGTACCTGCAGGGCTTAGCATTATGTTGTTGCACAACACCTGAACCTTTGTACCACAAAGGGCCTGTGCAGTTGGCCAGTCATTCACACCTCTTCCACCTAGGCACTTGGAAATGGCTATAGCAGTGATTTTACCCTTGCTGTTCCTGCCAGGCACATAATTGTCATGGCTGTGCACTTGTGAATCCTGAGACACTGCTAGATCTGGCGCATCAGATCTCCCATGGGAAGCAATTGTCACTGGTATGAAAATTACTCTCTTTTACCCTGCTTCTGTGCCTTATACTAGAGAGGAAAAAGACATGGCATTACATAGTAGGTAATACTCACCTAAATACTTGTAAGCATTACACACAAACCATAACAACTGATCAATGTTCAACATTTGCCCTGCACAGTGTGCTCCAAGCAGCACTAACAGCATCATAGGTGGGAACAATGAGAAGGGAGATCAAGCATGTTCTGATGAAAATTATACAGATACTATCAAAAAAAAAAAAAAAAGTTACAGGGAACACATGCTGCATTGGAGAGGAAATCAAAGAGATTACATTCACCTGAGAGACTCCATCATTTCTCTCCCCAGACAGAAACACTTTTCCAATCATTTTCTCTTTTACCATAGCTTTCTTTTTGCTTGCCCCAATAACAATCATGAGAGCGCCCCTCCCCTTTCCTCTTCCCTCCAGATCTTGTGCAAGTAAGCCTGTCTCAACATCCTTTTTGTAAGAATACTATCCGATTATTAAAACAGAATTGCAGAATTAGCAATACCAAGTTGAAGCTAATTAGGACAGGTATGCACCAAAAAGCTTATTTGTGGAATTTTTATAGTACTCCGAAGATTTTGTTTACATTCCTTCAATTTACAGATAAGGAAAAAGAGAAGAGAGACACAGTAACAAAGAAGTAGGATTAGAAGCCACCACTATAATTCTCCAACATATGCTCCAAATCACTTTGCCTTATAAAATGAAGGGGATTCATTACCCATTGAAAATGACAACAAAGTATGAAAAACTAAGTCAATGTAATGCTGCTGTGGCTTTGAGATGTCCAACAGTTGAGGAGGAACAGTCAAGGAATTATTCATTATCAGGGAGGCTAGGATTAGCATACTGAACAGACCCCTTTTCTTACTCAACTGTTTCCAGCAGACAAAGCTTCTAAGGGAAAGCTCTTCTCTCCAAGTGCTAGAAAGCACTGGTTTTCAAAAACTTACTAGCCAGAATATGATGAAGAACATCCCAAAAAGATCAAAGAAAGGACTAATATATGCATTTCCCCAAATGCCAAAATATAAGATTCTCACTGGACAAATGTCAAGAACTCATTGTTATTGTACCAGATAATGCTGGCAGAAGTATCTTGACCCTCATATGTGTCTTAGATGTAGTCATACTTTTCTAGATAATTTTAAAACCAAGTTTAAAATACTAGAGATGAAGTTTGAGATGTCATTGCCAGGCTTTCGGTAGATAAAAAGTTTCTGAACATCAGGGATGGATCACTCTAATCTCTCTCTCAAAGAGGGGCATAGGACAGAAAATTTCATTTTACAGGAGGATGGAATGCTTATATAAAGAGTAATATCTACAAGAGATCTCTTCTTTTTGTGCAAATGGTAAGAAATTGTCTAAAATCTTTTACATCAATGTAGAAGTCTCTAAGTGAGGCTACAGAGATCTTATATGCATGTTGCGTTGACAAACTTTTGGCATCAAAGACTGGCATAAAAAAACCCCAAAAGACAACCGTTGCTGAGTTCTACTCCAAACCTTTCCAGAGATAGCAGCTTTACCAGTACTTTAAGAGTACTGCCCAGCTAGATTTTCCTTTATTCCTTGGATAAAAGCCACAAGCTGATGAGCTTTTTAAATACTGTTTCCTAGAGAAAGTTTCATTCGCCATTCTTAATTATCATTACATCAAAAACCTTTCAGACTAGATGTACAGAAGCTCGGTTAACCACTACAAATGCACACCAAATTTGCAAAGTACACTGCAATTTTTTAAAAATCTACTTGGAAAAACATGCAAAAACCCTGTTTGATCTGAAACATATTTTGATATCATTTGATTATGTAGGAAAACAGTCTACCTTCACAGCTTATACCACAGATCAGACAACATTAAAGTATACAGGAAAAATATTTCAAATATTACCAGAAAATTGGCATACCAGAGACACCTTACACTTTTTGCGTTTGCTCTTCCTCAAGAAGATTTAAAAACAATACAGTTGAAATATTTACAAAAATCACCAATATTCCTAATAAATAAATATCATTTCAAACAAACATTAAATTTGCAGACTTGAAAGAACCATTTCATACCTCTGTGTTTGAGTAATACGTATTCCACGATGACCGTAATGATTCTTGTCCTCCAATATCCCACATTAAGAAATGAGTGTTTTTCACCACTATTTCTTCTACATTGCTTCCTATGGTTGGAGAAGTATGAACCACTTCATTCATTAAGCTAAAGAGAACAATAGCACACCATAAAGATCAGACAGTAAAATCCACAAGGGTTCTCACAGCTCAATTACAAAAAATTTGTTGTAGACAATGTAAGTATGTGTAACTGATAAAGATTAAAAACCAAGGCATATTTCAAAAAGCTATACATTTGAATTTTTATAGAAATAACGCAAATGTTTAAGAGCAGTTCTTTAGTAAAAAGATTAGTTCAATCTGAATTTGGACTAAAACCTGTGGTTGATGAAGTTCTAGTGTGCTTTTATAGCGGAGGCTGCAGACATACCTAAAGGTATCAGCAATGAAAAATAAGCACATAACAGGCTTATAAAAAGTGGATAAGCATTTGTCTTTTCAGAAGCTTCTCTTTTTAAAGGACACTCTTTAATAGATACTTAAACTGCACTTGTTTCAAAGTAGAAACTGCTATTCTAAAGATCCCAAATAAGGGGATCACTAAACTGGGTAAAACATAAATCAGAATACCAGGGCACTCAACTTAGTAATTTAATATTAAAACAAATTCCAAAGGACTGTTTGTTTACATAGCTGAAAATTTCTCAGTACTACCTTTAAGTTTTGTCATAAGTGCTTAGGAAAAAGGTTTTTTGGAAAACATCCTCTGCTGCCTTCATATCCAAATATGCATAGCAATTTGGCTACACCCTCCTCCTTTCCCACAATTACAATATTAATTATATTCCTGACAATATTCTTGAATTTATCACAGATATTATTGGAATGATGACAAGATTTGGGTGCAATGATGTTATTGAAAATGCTTAAGATAGGATCCAGGCAAGACGAACTACTATTTTGGGGAATCCTCCATCATAAATTTTAGACACAGGAATCAGGAAACATTAATGGATTTTTGCAGAGTGACTAGAATTTCCATTAATTTAAAAATCACTTCCTTCTCTGCAATTCTTGGCGACAGGATAGGCCTTGGTTGCAAAAGAATTTCCAGTGCACTTTCTGCCAGTACGTACAATTTTTGTTATTCAACTTACAGTTCTGTTTTAAAACACTACAGTTTTCCTTCATTGTTCATTTAAATATTTACTCTGTTTAGAACAACTAATACCGTTAACGTACAAACTGTGATCTAGTACCTCAGAGGTTCCACCAGTTTGCAAAGCTGAACTTTCAATGATTAAACAGTGGCAAATACCAAAATGCAAACAGAAATCATATACTTACAATTGGTAAAGAATAGTAGTCTTTCCAGCATTATCAAGTCCCACTATGATTACTTTATGCTCTGCATATACACAAAAAAGACAGGAACAAATTAGTGGAAACAGCAATAATTATAATTCTGGTTAATCACTTCTCCTTGGTGAAGAAAGCAACTGCTTGTTTGTTTTATTTCAACATCTTACACAGAATACTGGTGACTTCAGTACAGAAAATAAAAATCCACAAAACCTCATCTTCTCTTGAAACTAAAGTTTTAGGAGAAGTCAGTACTGGAAGTCTTCATAAAGGAATATTTACTAATATCATTACTTAATTAAAAGAATCTAGTTTTAGAAAGAAAAGTAAAATGAAAAAATATAACTCATAGCAGTGTATCACCTTAAGAATATCACCAAACATCCAAAGACTGCACAAAATATTAGCCTAACATTCAAGGCTCAATAATAGCCACTTGTTAAGGGACTACCATAATTCACAGATTAAAAACTAAGAGGATGCTGCATTTTGAATAGATCAGGAATTCCAGTGTTGCAATTTCTGAACTGAAAAGGCACAGAATAATAGAATAGTTGAGGTTGGAAGACACTATGGGAGGTCATGTGGTCCAGCCCCCCTGCTCAAGCAGGGCCACCTAGAGCCAGTTGCCCAGGACCCTGTTCAGGCAGCTTGAGTATCTCAAAGGGTGGAGACTCCACAGTCTCCCTGGACAACCTGTGCCAGTGCTCTGTCATCCTCACAGTGAAAACCATGTTTCCTGATGTTCAGAGGGAACCTCCTGTGTTCCAGTTTGTGCCCACTGCCTCTGGTCCTGTCACTGGGCACCAGTGCGACAAGCTGGCTCTGTCTTCTTTGCATCCTCCCTTCAGGTATTTATATACATGAACAAGATCTCCCCTGAGCCTTCTCTTCTGCAGGCTGAACAGTCCCAGCTCTCTCAGCCTTTTCTCATACATGAGATGATCCTGTCACTTTGTCACCTTTGTGGCCCTTCCTTGGACTCTCTCCAGTATGACAAAAAAGCAAATCACTTGAGAGCAGAGAATTTACAAATAGATACTAGAAGTAAAACTTGTATAGATCTGTGAATAGGCTCGCTTTTGAAGGGGTAATATTTAAAATTCTAGGGCACTTATTCCAAAGCAAAACATGGTTCACAGCTTAAAGTATTCCTCTGAAATACCACATTCAATCTACAAGACTTATAACAAATTACTAAAAGATCAGAAGATGTATCATGAATATCAAATTGGTGATTTTTTGTCAGCAAGTTGGCAGTCTAAGTAAGAACTAAAGTGCTGGTTGCTTGTTTGTTCATGTTTTGTTTGGGTTTTTTTTGTTGTTGTTGTTTTTAAATTATTTATATATAATAACCTAGGTCTTTTCAATATTGAAACTGATTTTAATAAAACTATCTCTTCCTTGGGACTTTTAGAAGTTTTTCTATGCAATATGGCCCTAACAGATGTTGAAAGCTATTTTCTTGTATCAGTTCCCTTACTACTGCATCCTACCATCGTGTTCTAAGGAAAGAACTTTTCCTGGCCTTACATTCAGTAATACTTCTAGCCCCATAAGCAGCAGCAGTAATTAATAACCCTTCCCAATACATAAATGGTATGAAATCCTCTCTGCTTTCAACTCTAATCAACAATACCACATAGCTAGACTGTCCATGTCTTCTTCAAATTCAGTTAAGTTTGAAGAACTTTCAAAGTTCAAACACAGAAATACCTCTCTGTTGTTTTCAAAATAGCCATGTTATCAACTATTTCCTGGAAGAAGATGATTCTACTTTTGCAACATTCTGTTTATTTTCAATGAGGAAAAGACAAGGAATTCCAGTCAGGCATTACATTTTTCTTTCCCACCTTCACATCAGAATACAGTCTTACTTAGGAATGAATGAGAAGCGTTGCACAAAACAGTATCATGCTACTTAAAGTAATGAAAAAAAAACCAACAACCCTGCATTGAGATGACTGTTTTGAAAGCCACTGAAGCATGAATGGTTTAACACTAATTGGGGAAAAAAGGAACAGCTTATCTGTGTTACTCCACAGTCAAATGGTATTTTAAAGAGTAACTGCATAAGCACAAACAAGAAAGAGTAACACAAGTGTTAATTAATATTGATTTGGGGATGAAAATAATACAATGAAAGCATCACTATCTCATACAAATATCAGTTTCCAGCTTTTACTAATGCAGTTTCTTCCAGAACTGTCATCTAAGGTAATGGAAAACTCTTAACTTAAAAATTCAACTTTTGAATATGTTTGTGTCTAGATTGGTTAGATTACAGAATTTTAACTTCTATATGTGCATTAGAGGAAAAACACACAAACTTTAAAACTGCCAAACTAAGACAGAACAAAATTTTATCAAAACAAGCACTGACTTACAAGAACAACTAGTAGAAGATAGATGCTAAATTGAAGTGAAAGTATAATTATGGAGTAAACCACAGGCAGTGATTTATGCTCATATTTGTGTTCTGTACTTATAGACTAACCCAAGTTTCTCACTTTCACTGGCTGGTATTCAAGCTCAGTTTGGTCTGAACTCATTAATATCTTCCCAGTCCACCATGTTCTTGGCAAAAGAAGAAAATCCAAAGCGAATCTTTATAAATCTGATAGAAAGCGGGAAAAAAGTAAGTAGAAAAACTAGGCATACGCAGTGGGAAAAAAGGCAGTATTAGACATCTGTTTAAAAGAATCCAAAGAATTCTGTTATATCAACCATTCCTGGCAGACTGTTTTTCTTTTAAAAAGTACATAGTATTGTTAAAAAAAAAATCTCTGTCAGTCTAGTATCACAAAATAATAGGACAGTGAAGATGATCTTCTTGCAGATGTTAGAAGGAAGACATAATATGCTCTTTTCTCCACTTACTCTTCTAAATTCCTCTGTGGTAAAGGATTCAAAACTGAAGATTCAATTTCCCCAACTTTGCCCTTTTTCCTCTTTCTAATTCATAAAAATTAAAAATAAATCTAAACAATGATGAGCAAAGCTCATTACCAACATATTTGAAAGAATAAATGAATATTAGAAGGGGTATCTATACTTTTCAGGCTGTGAAACAGAAACCCCACATCGAGTTCCAAAGAACAACAATCTTAGAAGTTTCAAGGCTGAAGACAGAATGCAGACAGAAGTTTGCTAGGGAGGAGGCAAAAGGAGTAGCATTTTACTAAAGTTCAAAGACATTTCAATACAAGGATTCATTCTGCACACTAAAAGCTGCCTTAGAGTCTTCTTTTAGGCACAAAAAACCTGCTTAAATACATCTTGTATTTCCAGATGGGATTACAAGAAAGTAGCCTTTAGTAGTCACCGGAACAAAAATCCACTTGGTTTTGCAGATAACGGTCTCTGCTAAACTGTGGAGTTACAGAAGTTTACCCACCTTGACTTAGAGCTTAACATTATTTTTCTTACAGCAGCTTTTTAACATCTTTAGCATTTATTCAGAGCAACCTGGAAGACTCTGAACACCTATCATTTAAAAAAATTAAAATACAGATTTGTGAACTTCTTAAAGAACTGTATCAGACACACACACACACACAGAAAAGAATAAGGTTTTGACTACTGTCAGTTGCCTTTATCAGGGTTGCTGATGCTCACTTCTGGTTTTTCCTTACAGCTTCATTAAGAGCAATCTTGATAGTATTGATGGAAGGGTAAGTCAAGCAAGTTTTATTCAACTATGTGTTAACACAGGCAATAAGCTACAACATTTATTCATATTACTACATGCTGCTTAGAAGACTGTGTCATTTGAGTACCGAATCATAGCTTAAATTAAGGCCCCGGAACACTTTTGACCACTACCACCACACAAACAGAAATAGCTACTGTTTAAAGACTACTGCCAAACTCAAACTGGAAATGAACCCTTCCAAACATATTCACAGAACTAAATAGATTATTCCCTGATGGACTGTGCTCACTGCAGAGACTGTTAGCCTTCCTCTCTTTCATTAGTCATTGACCCAGATCAGCACACTCATCACCCAGTTTCTTTAAACTGCTCTGCACTGCAGTTTTTCTTATTCCATAATCCCCCATACCAGATTTGGAGACTAGATGGTGCACTGCAATGGAAAAGCAAGTGCATTATGCCAGGGAGCAGGAAAAAGAGGCAAAGAAAGGCTTTCCCCTTCTGAAAGTTCTCATCATAGGCCAAAGCCATGTAACACTATTTTCCACCATGGGCCAGTCTGGGTTTGCCAAAATGGGCTAACCATACTCAAAATGGGCTGAACCACTGGAACAATTTCTGCTACAGGTACAGTGAGTTGAAAAAGAACCACAGACAGATTTAACTCCCTGGTAAGAACACACAGATGCTACCCAAGTCACAGGGCTAAAACAGTTGAATACTAAGAAATGCTCCTGGAAGAGGTCAATAGATAACACTAGTCAACAGACACTTATCACGGAATGTCTTTAGAAACAGATTAGGTCAAGTCTCTTGACCTTCTTTCCAGTACTTCATCCTTACCATTGGAAAGGATGGTAAAAGAATCAAATTGCAGGACTAGTAAAGATGATGTGTAATTTAATAAAATGATTTTCAGTGCTTTAGTAGGATCTAATGTACCTTCCTTACAAGGTTTTCCTGCCAGGCAAAAGTCACTCTGAATGAACTCAATTTTCTGTACACTGCACATTTACTGTAACTGCACTGAACCCTGAGGCACAAAAACACAAGGGGCTTATTTTAAGATGTTAGTTATCTTAAGACGTGCATTTTTCAGAAAGCTACCAATGTATCTTCCTGCTGTGAGTTAAAAGTATTAGCTTACAAGTAGATATTTCTTTAATGCTGTCCAAACATTGTTGACCAAATACCTTTCAGAATGGACATTTTCAGCTCATCTATTATTCACATTTATGTAAAGCAATACTGCAGTGAATAATTAATATTCAAGTGAAATGCTGACGATTTCCTGTTCTTTATCTTCTAGCACTTAGACACACCTCCCCCATGCTCTGCTTGATGGAAGACAGATGGCACTTTCTAAATCATTGCTTTGTTTAACCTTTCATTTTTCCAGTATCAAGTGCTTCAGACTATCAGCACAACCCACACTAGCCATGGTGAACTGATGATATGCTCCACACACATCAGAGTCTATTTGCATCTTTGGCACATTCCCTCTAGTTAGTCAAAATCACTGCGTAAGCTACCGTGCTAGTCTGCTCAACAAGCAGTTTCATGGGACAGCATATAAATTCTCCAATAAAATTGTCTAGCTTTGATATAACTAGAAGACCAACAAAAGCAAATGCAATAATTACTACCCTTCATTATTACTAATAATATTATTTACAGGAAAATAGTAATGTAATTTGAGAATAATTTCCCACTAGATGTGTCAAAACTTTATGTTTGAAGATAATTTTCTAGAATGGTAATTCAATTTTGGCCATGAAAAGAAAATCACTTTCTTCTCTATGAGGGGCAAAAAACCCGAAAAAAAACAAACCAAACCAAACAGAATCCCTGCAACAAAACAAGATCGGAACACACCCCAGAAGCCTATTGGGATGAAAGTCAAAGGGTAAGTATTTCATGGTAGTGCCTCATCGATCTTAACTGTGATACTAATTTTCATTAACATTTTAAATTTATGAAGAATAACTTTCAGGAATTAATATACAGTAACAAAGACAACATGTTTTACACTAATGAAATTGAATCATGTTGTCATGTACTAGAAGAAACCCCAAACACAAAAAAACCCAACAAAACTGCACCTCTTCCTTCCTTCCTTCAAATATGTATTGACATCATAGGGTACCATGTAGACCAACACTAAAAGCCACTGCAAGTTATTTCCTGATCAGTTCTCTGCTTATAGACATCTCTTGGAGTTCTTCACAGAAGGAAGGGAGTCACAGATTGCAGTATTTGATGAAAACCAAAAGAGTACACTGCTTTCTGAACAATAGGGGGAACAAATTGGTTTTCTGTTCAGAAAACTAAGAATCTTCAAATCAACAACAACAAAAAATTCAGAAAACTGTTAGAAGACTTCAGAAACTATGTAATGGGATAGGGTATGGGGGAGATAAATGGTCTGGATCTCCCTCTGACTTCTATCCCATACAAGGACAGTGTAATACATAGATCTTAATACCTACACACTGACATTTTGCTCTGGTATTGACAGAATTAGAATGGGTTATGTGCACTCACAGGGACAAGACTACTAAAAGTACACCAGGAATATCAACCTCCCAAAAACTTGCAAAAAAAAAAAAAAAAAAAAAAAAAAAAAAAAGAAAGAATTAACTGCATTTTGAGTAACTTTAAAGTGAGAATGAAGTGTACATTTGGAAACCTCATGAGAGAACAGTAATATTAACATTGGTTTGCCTGCTGCAAACTCTGGGCCTTACACAAAAACAATAGAAATTATAAATTCTTTGACTATTTTATTATCTAACTAAAAAAATCTAGGTAAACAAGATTCATTAAAATAAACAGATAAAACATAATTTTCTATTTTTAGAACTGTTTGAGCTAAAAGTGGTGGCAGCCACAAGTTTTGAACTCTGGATTACAGCATGAGCCATTATTGTGGGGCTGGCTGCACTAGGTAAGAGAGAACGGAAAGCTATCCTCTTATGACCTTTTCATTCTTGGCTTGAGAAGTGAATTTCTTGGGTCACTAATTGCATTTAACTAGCACCTCTGGCAAAATACAAGCAGATCTTTACCTCAAGGGCTCTAACAATAATTTTAGTGGACTTTTTTCTTGATAAAGATAAAAATAGCACGATTTTAGCAGCAGACCCTGACTTAAAAACGGAGGGTCTGCAAAGACAAACGAGACCTCCATCGTCCATCAAAGCTTCAGCCGCTACAGCGGTGAACAACCATGTCTGAGAGGCAGCCGCATTCGCCGGGACGCGAACTGGGGAGCGCACCCGCGGCTCTAAGGGTGGCCCGGGATACGCGAGGCGTTCGGAGCAGCCGGGGGAAAAGGGGGGCCGAGGGGACCACCTCAGTCTCAGAAACAAAGCGGCTCCGAGCATGAGGCGCCGCAGAACCCGCGCTCCAGGCACTGCACAAAGAAAAGCCCAACTTTTGCCGGGTCGCGACCTCAGGGGAAGCCCGGCGACCGGAGCAGGCCTCCGACCCCCGACGGCTGCCCACGGCTGCCTGCGGCCCCCTCAGCCCCGCTGGCGCCAC